CATCACATTATCAAATTTACTCCTACTTTGCTTTTGGTAGAAAATCATCAGTATTGTGTGTTACAGTTCTAAAAATCTCACTTACTTCAAAATAATGAGCAGCTATTTCTATAATAGTTTTAAAGTGGCCCATTTTTGCCCCTGGGACCTGACTAGAGTAGCTTTGCATGATTCAGAATAATGAATAATAGATGTTTTAGCCACATTCTCTTTGAGGGCATCCTCCCTTTAAGCCAAGGATGATAAGAATGGCTCTCCCTTGCAAAAAAGAAGAGTTGAACAGCAGGTCGGCTACAACCACAGTTTTGTTCCTGAGATGACCATACTAAGGATATCCATCGTCTATGAGCGTTCACCATTGTAACAGTACATATAAATATATGACAGAAAAAAGGAAAAGCAGGTGGTGCATTTTCCCTTCAAAGTAATCGGTAAGGTACTAACCTTGTGTAATCCATTATTGTGTTGAGTCTGTGTGCAATGGTGAAGACGGTGCAGTCTTCAAACTGAGTCCTGATGGTGGATTGGATGAGGTCATCTGTCTCCAGGTCAATAGCAGCAGTAGCTTCATCCAGGATGAGGATCCTGGTCTTCCTCAGGAGGGCTCGAGCTAAACACACTAGCTGCCTCTGGCCCACACTGGAGACACCAAAATCCAGTAAGTGAAACAGCATTTACAGACAAGCCTTGCTCACCGTGCTTCTTTGTCTCTGAACGTACCTGAGGTTCTCTCCTCCCTCTGAACATTCGAGGTCCAGTTTTGCTGCCTGGTTACTGACAAACTTGTGGAGGTGAGAATGTTCCAGGGCTTTCCACACCTCTTCATCGCTGTACTTCTCAAAAGGGTCCAGGTTCATCCTCAGTGTCCCAGAGAACAGCACAGGCTCCTGAGGCAAACACAGAAACAGAGGTGAGCAGGATAAGCTACCACAACCCTGGCTGGAAAGGAAAACCGACAGATGGACATTCAGCTGGGCTCTCACTCTGATATTATTCGATGCTACAGAGTGGCAGGGTGAACTTGGGTGGGTGCAGGGTGGTGGTGGGTATCACTGGTAAGGTGCAAAGCACTAGCTTTAGTTTACAGCAGACAGACAGATCAGCAACTAAATTAAGAATTAGCATTCTCCAGAGCCTCAGTCAACATAACAACAATCTAAATAACCCCGTTTATGTGACTCAAGCTGTTTTCACATAATCTTTGAACAATTTTTACAATAATTGGTTCTTCCTGTTAAAAGGGAGCTTTTCCTTCCCACTGTTGCCAAGTGGCTGCTCACAGGGGGCTGTTTGACTGGTGATTTCAGATGTTTCCCGACTAGAGATAGCGGAATATAGAGCTTGAGACAGCAGTAGCAGATATCACAGTTAATAATATTAACTGCGCTATGTCCGCATTGGCTTAAAAGATTTGGTCCTTGAGTTATACCAGACCCTAATAAGTGGTAGAAGTAGATGGATGCTTTTTATACTGCATTTACTACTCTGAATCATTTAGTTTAGTTTTTTCCTGTTGATGTATGAGATCTAAACTGTACATATTTCATTGAAAAATTAAGATTATTAGCACAAATACTGACATATAATCCTTTTCAAACATACAGGTGCTTCATTCAGGCAGAATTTGACAGTCGTACCTGTGGAATGATGGTGAGTTTAGACCGCAGGTCGTGCAGGCCTATCTCTGATATCTTCACGTTGTCGATGGTGATCTCGCCTCCCGCAGCTTCCAGCAATCTGAAGAGGCAGAGCGTCATCGAAGACTTGCCGGCCCCCGTACGACCTACGATACCGATCTGCGCAGAAACACACGTTTGTGTTGAACAACCCACTGAGCCATTATTCTGCACTGATAAATAAATCATCTCGGCATATCCTCCCCACACCTTCTCTCCTCCCTTGACTCTTAGCGTGATGTCCTTCAGAACGAGGTCCAGTCCCTCTCGGTACCGAACGCTGTAGTCGTTGAACTCCACATTGCCCTGCATGGGCCATTCAGGTGGGGGCTTCTTGTCCTCCACCTCCCAGGGGGCCTGTAAACACAAACACAGCTCTTCATGGTAGGAAAACTTTCTGAGCAACTCATTAGCCTATTTGGCTTGGACCAGAATGGATTTGTTTATCAGGCTAAGAAGTCAGAGAGCTGTACTTCTTTGCACAGCCACTCGGAGCTGCCAAATATTTATTTCACCTCTGGGATGCACCGGATGCTTCAAACGGAGGCTTTCAATAACAGCTACACCAACTAATGCACAGAAGGGGCACTTTCTGTGATGGCTACTGAAAAAGTACACTCTGTACAGTATAAGTGCCCTGTTTCTCTGCAACAGAGGGGCCCTTGTTGGCAGCAGGTAAGCTAACATTTCTGGAACTAGTTACAGTTTATAGGTCTTGTGTTGCAAAGTTGAGCAACAAGGCAGGTTTTTTTTTTTTAACGTGGCTAAATTCCTACATTTTAACCGTAGCACAAAGCCAACACCACTTTAAAAGCAAACACATGAACAGTCCCATCTTCACAGAGTATTAGAAAGTTGCTTAAAGGGATTCATGACATACCTCTGTCTTGGTCTCAGAGTACTCCTTCACTCTCTCCACTGCTACTATGTTGTTCTCCAGTTCTGAAGTCATCCGCACCATCCAGTTCAAAGACATGGTCACCTATTGAAACAATGCCTTATGAAACACTCCAGAAATTTACAATAAGGGATGCTGTGTGTCCACTACAGCAAAGTAAGGCAAAGCAAAACAACTTCCAGAGCCTTGTAAATAAAAAATGACTTACATAAAAGACATTAAGACAAAATGAAAAGGAAAAAGTTTTAAATTGAGCAGAAAACAAGTAGGCCCTTCACATGAACGTGAAGCAGCTCAACTAAATACTAACGAGCTGAACTTACAATATGAAGACTTATTCACATATAACTTCATTCAATTAAAGCTGTATAATATTTGGTGAAGTTCAAGGGAAGCGTTAGCATGCAAGTAAGGTTTATTAGCTAAAACTGAGCAAAAGGATAAATGATGTTACTAAACAACCCCATCCAATAAAATTGTGATACAGAGTAAAATGCAGATACATTCAGAAAGCAATGATCTGCTTTAAGTGAGAAAATGAAGCTCATTCTTAATTTGATGACAGCAACATATCTCAAAAATACAGAGACAGATCCATGTTTACCACTGTGCAACACCCCCTCTTCTTTAAGCAACAGTCTGTAAACACTGAAATTTCTCAAGCACATTATAGATCAGAAGAGTAGTAACTGTGAGGCACAGATGATAAAATATTTAAAAGGATAAATGCTAGAAACTAAAATTTGAAATAAATTAAGATGCTTTGCTAAACAACAAACATGAGTTTTCATAAAATTAAAAGTAACTGATAAAGTGATAAGAGGCAATACTGAGAACACTTATAGCGCTCTGTATTTCAAGCAAACAATAGGCTAAGAGGATAAAACACTGATTTGATCCATGGTAAAAATACCAGTGACTGCAGCTTTACTAAGAAAGCATTATAAATATAAAAAATGCTATAAAGTGACATTATTACTGGTTAAATGAGATATCTGGGTCATATTCTTGCAATAGCTGTAGTAGTACCTGTAGAGCATAGGACACCGACAGACCCACGAGGCCGGGACTAAGACTGTCCTTTCCTGTCACCGCAAACAGGCCAGCAAACAACACAATGCAGTTTCCAATGAACTCAATTCGCACTCCGAGCCACCTGTAAAACAGCAGATGCAGTTGACCTTAAGAACACCTGAGAAACTAAAACACGGGATAATTCAGCACCTCGTGTTACGACAATAATGACTTATGCTCATTACTGGGATACAAGGGGCAGTGCCATTGATAGAGCCACAAGTTTTAGAAATATTCTTTATTGTGGAGCAACACTATAGTAAGTACAGTATATTTTCTTATGTGTGTATAGACAGTGTGTGAATTCCTTTTGTGCTTTTCACTCTTTGCACTCAGACAGTGTTTCACATTAACGCCATCTTTCCAATAAGATGGACAGATGTTAGAAAATCTGCTTTTTTCTTAAAAAAGGATCAGGTGAGAACTTTGATATTGACCTTGACCTTTCTCACTATGTGTTAATAGACCTTTCTGCATTGAACAATACTTGTTATTAATCTCTGGTTCTCTTCCACAGCATGTATTTTATCCCGTCTTCCTTCTCTCACCCCAACAGATGGCCCCGCCCCTCCCTGAGCCTGGTTCTGCCGGAGGTTTCTTCCTGTTAAAAGGGAGTTTTTCCTTCCCACTGTCGCCTTGCTCAAGTGCTTGCTCATAGGGGGTCATATGATAGTTGGGTTTTTCTCTGTATCTATTATTGTAGGGTCTACCTTACAATATAAAGCACCTTGAGGCGATTGTTGTTGATTTGGCGCTATATAAATAAAATTGAATTGAGTTGAATATTACCTATGCTACACCCAGTTAGCTTAGCTTATCATAAAAGCTGCACACAGGTGCAAACGATTTGCTAAGCTTTGTTAGAAGCTAACAAAATTTCACTGTGCAATTTGAGTTTAAACAGTCGTTGTAGTTAACCATAATAAACCTACAGACACGAGCAGGATTGATTTTCTCATCTTGTCACTCAAACTTAAGGCTGAATAGAAGAGAAGAAGTCTTTGAGCATGAGTACTCCTTACCTTCCTATAGTTATAAACACTAGATATACGCCATTTGTGCACACGAGACAATGAGATTTTTAAAAAACCCACCTTATAGAACTTTAGGGGCTCCATAAGTAACAGATTATGTGCAGCCATAATTGTGACAATTTGAAACAAAATTCAAAGCAGAAAGAATCAGTCAAACAGAGACGCAGAATTTTTACATGCAGTGGCTGTGCACAGAGCGAGACAAGAACTCAAGACTGGAACACAGCTGCTTCTCTGCTGGAGCAGGATACTTGCCTGTTCGACACTATACCAGGGTAGTAACTCTTTTGGTTCTCATCCACTTTGATATCACTCATCAGAACAAAGGCAGAGTGCCTGCCATATGCTCGGATTACACTACAGCCAGTGATGGTCTCAGAGAAATGGGAGTATATGGGAGAGCGGCTGACCGACTCCAGACGCTTTAGCTGCCGAGACGTGGCAACGTAAAATCTCTACAAGCATTGAGGGGGAGAAAAACAGACAATGTTAAAACACAACAAGGCTTTCCACGTGCTTAGATATGTTTAAATATGATGCAAATACAGGCTCACACGCATACACACGCACACCCACACAGAGTAATGAAGAAAGCCTATGTTAACAAAACAACTGCAGATATTTGACCCTGAGCTTTTAAGCATTTAAGCATATTAAACTAATACAAATAACAAGATTCACTGATAAAATCCACAGAGCTGACAGAACAGGTGATTTTTATCTGCAGGTGTTTTGTTTTTCATTACACATATATCTGCATCCAAATCAAATTTATACACAAACAGCCGTAATATTTCTGAAAGTGTTAGAAGCTTGAAGCAATAGTTCTGCTTTTCTGAGTATTTGGTAGTTTCTGAGCACAGACGAAAGACGAATATGGCAGAGAGACAAGCGATGCAAAGTGGATGCCATGACAAAGCTGCAGGAACAACATTTATTGTTACTGTTAAGCTGATATTAGTTGTGTGAGTGTGCAGTTAGTATCACGTAGTGAGGACACAGAATATTCCCTTAAAGACAAGGGTAAGCAAATCTTTGGGCAGTGACGCAACTTTTATCATTTTTGCCCTTTATGCCACATTTGAAATGAAAGATGCAATTTTATTTATTAAAAAATAAATAAATCGTATAGACAGTTTTATATGTTCATGATGTGAAATATGACTTGTAAGTAACCTATGTTATAGATATTTTTATTAGTTACACAGGAAAAGGTTAGAATATGAGACGTATATACCTCATGTGGTCATGGCACAACATGTGGCTAAATGTGCCCACTTTAATCAGGCTTCCCTTTGACTACAATTAATGGCTTAATAAACATTTTAGTTCATTCTAAAAGAGTTAATGTGTACTTAATAAGATAAAAAAAGACATCTGCAAACATCTGCAGAAAACAAAAATAATGGATGAATGATCACAGGATTCCTTCCATGGTTTAAAAAAAAACAAAAAACGTAGATAACACTCTTTAGGATGTCCGTAAATCATTATCCACACCTATGGTAAATCAAGATGCCACAAGAGTAAATATAGAGGGTTCACCACAAGGTGCAAACCAGCGATCAGTCTCAACATTAAAAAGAATTGGGCACTGGTTTAAATCACAGGTTGAGTTGGAGCCAGGTGAATCTCTCCCCAACCGGTCGCGGCAGATGGCCCCGCCCCTCCCTGAAGTTTCTGGAGGTTTCTTCCTGTTAAAAGGGAGTTTTTCCTTCCCACTGTCGCCAAAGTGCTTGCTCATAGGGGGTCATATGATTGTTGGGTTTTTCTCTGAATGCATTATTGTAGGGTCTAACCGTACACTATAAAGCGCCTTGACACGACTGTTGCTGCAATTTCTGTATGAATAAAATTGAATTGGATTGAATTGAATCATTGTCCTTGAAATGTCTCACGTTTTTGTTGCACTGGCAGAATCGCATGTTATTCTCCATCTACATGCTTCTGTTGGGTCAGATTACTCTGGAAATGTTAGTGTTAATTTCCAATCTTCTGTGGATAATATGCAGTTATATTTTCTGCTGACAGGCTGTTACGTAAACACGGTCTCACATTGCTGGGCTCACTCAGATTCAGCCAAGCATTGAAGTTTAACAGACAACTTTCTTCATCTACTACATCTTCTGTGGCATCAGAGAGCTTAAATTGTGAAAATTGTGTCACTTCCCAGTCACCTCCAGACCTAACTGTATTATCCTAAATCAGGGGTGGGCAATTCCAGGCCTTGAGGGCCGGTGTCCTGCAGGTTTAAGATGTGTCCTTGAGCCAACACAGCTGATTTAAACGGCTAAATTACCTCCTCAACATGCCCTGAACTTCTCCAGAGGCCTGGTAAGGAACTGATCATTTGATTCAGGTGTTTTGACCCAGGGTGACATCTAAAACCTGCAGGATCCTTGAGGCCTGGAGTTGCTCACCCCTGTCCTAAAGCCTTTCAAAATCCTATAAGAAAAACCTGTAGTGAGTTGGCACCTGACAAAAAGAGATTCATACTCATTCATATTCTAGTCACCTAGTTATTGAACAGCTGTTTGAGCCTTCAACTAAATGCCTGCACACTTAACTGAAAGCCAAAGGGCTGACACTGCACAATTTCATCCGATGAGTTAGATAAACCTGTGATATGCAATAGAAAGCCGAGATAACCCTGATACCAGAAAAGTAAAAAGGACACCATGTGTTAAAATTGTTAGTTTGCCCTTTAACTGCATATAGGCAACAAAGTGTTGCTTGACCACTGAGACAACCACCTCTATGAGGCTTTAAAACTGACGACGTAATCAGCAGAAATTTATATTGTGAATGTTAGTGTTGATTATATCTCGTAGCATTTATTAAAACGTATATTAACACAGCAGTGCTGAACACTATAGAGAGATACCACCAACACTAACCACTGCTGCTGACACCAACACCACTAAACAGATTAGAAAGGGCTGCTCTCACGGCAGAAATGTTTGCCCTGTCCTCGGTGAAGTTGCTCATCTTTTGTGCATGTGATTGTTTAAAAAACAGGATGTAAATAAAGAAATGTAGTTCATGCATGAGCTTTTTAATAAGTAATACGAGCTCCCAAACTAGAACCAAATTACACTGGATCCTTCAAGGCTGGGGCCAACACATCTATTGAAATAACCTGACAGCATTTTAGCCAAAATTATATTTTTTTGTGGTGCATATGGGACAACATATATGATGATAGAGATATATCTGTATGAGGCCAACAATGACAGTTAATTTCAAGCGCAAAGGCCCAAATATGTTTTGCGAAATGAAAAATAAAATTCCTTAAAAACTGTTCTTTACTGCTTTATGAAACCTCGCAGAGGAACAGATAAGTTTCTTTTTGACACACTGAACGATGTTAAAAGCAGGAAAAACATGCACGGCTCTTTATCCACATCTGATTTGCAGTTAGTAATATTATTTCTGCCCTAAGAGAAGCCCTGCCTTCGTGGATCGACTGTAACGAGTGCTGGGCTGTATACCTTTATATCTGATACACAGAGACGTTTCTCAAGGCTAACAGGGGTTTTTTTGGGCTACAAAGTTTAGAAGAATAACTTATAAATGTGATGCTTCACTCACAAGCTCGTATGCAGGAGCACTGACGTGAAAACTTTTTGTTATTTGACTTGCTAAAATGACGAAAAGTGGCATCATATCGATTCTTGAATCAGAACTGACAGGAATTTTAGGAATTAAGCCCATTACACGATGAGTGTGTTGCAAAAAGTGACACGAAATTCTGAATTTTTCAGATATGAACTTGTAACATACACACACTGAACCGAACGAGTTCACTGAAAAAAATAACGTGGACGTGAAACGAGCTGGTCCTGATGTTTGTGAAGAAGAAAAGGAAGAAACTTGAGATTCTGGTTTTATCCGATTCTCGTGAGAAGGCAGCGGCGGGGAGAATTTCATGGTTTGATTCCAGAGTTGAAGCTTTCATACATATCTCAGCATGTCAGTGGGGCTATTTGAGCATTGTTGGGACAGCATCTGACGACACAGAAATCATTTCACAGAGCTGACTGACTTAGAGACGTACAGCTGTGTTTCTCGCAAAGTACTATTATTTCACCACGTCTATATTCAGTACCAGTGCGCGCTTTGAGATACGAGTGCCAAATGCAGTGACGTGATTGGTCAGATGTGTTCATGCAGTAACTATAACAAGAACAACAACATGATCTACTGTGCAAATACTTGTGTGATAGATATTTCAGGTCATACTGCCCAGCACTAACTGCAATCCAATTCACATTTGTTGATTACAGCAAAAAACAGTTTAACTGACGTTTTTCTGCATTTTAAACCCATAAAACAACTGAAATAACTACGGCTCACACAGTCTTAAACTACAGACTGGCCACTGAGCGACTAAGGCCACAACAGTTTATGACTACTGGACTAGACCAAACCACACAGCAACTAAATCTAGACGAGCAACGATCACTGCCTCAACCACATGCAGCTGTTTACTACCACACACACACACACACACACACACACACACACACACTCACACACACACACACACTCAACAGCACTCGCAGACATGCATGTTATATTAATGAGTTAGCAGACTCTTTTCCTATTTACCTGAACCCACCAATAGAACACCATTAACGGGGCTATGACTATGAGGAACATTGGGGTGAGGGCACAGCATATGAGCAGCACATTCAGTGTGTACCAGAAAGTGCGCATCCATATGTCAATATTGTCTGGGATCTGGGAGTCTATAGCATCCACATCTTTGCTGAAGCGGTTTAGTAACCGCCCAGTAGGGGTGCTCTCGAAGAAGCCCTGCGGAGCTCGCAGGACCCCCTGAAGTAAGTTGCGGTGTGTGAGCTTGGCTGCCTGCAGCATACTGTAGGCCCGGCACAGCAGGCAGTTAATCAACAGCAGCACACCTGCGAGACAGGAGGGGAGGGGGTCAGGTGTGACAACACAATAATGCCTGCGTTAAATGGATGAGCAGCCTGTGAGACAGCGACTTTCAGTGTCAGTGCAGGTTTCCCAGAGTCAGTCCTCTACGGTGCCACTTATACACCTCATAAGTGGCATTTTATCATCATATTCTTTCATTTATGCTTCCCTTTTGTGCACATGGTGCTTACTTTTAATATCTAATGGAAAACTACCAGATGTGGAAATTTTAAAAGACTAAATAATTAAAAATTTCATTAACTTCAACAGAGAAATGTGAGATACTGCTATCATTTCACCTACGAAGGTGAGGTCACACTGGCCCTCGACAAAAATAAAGTTTATTTAGTTGTGTTAACAGTGCTTCACCACTAGAGGGGGGTATAGATCACTAAAAACTGACTGACGTGACTTTGATTTTGTTCACGATACAGTTTAGGAGCGTGATCTGTGAGGTGTGTGTGTGCATGTGCATCGCAGCAAGCTGCAGGCAGGACAGGAAGTGTTTTGGCTGTGGAGAAAGAGCAAAGTGAATTTACAACTGAAAAGGAAAAAATGACAGCAGGAGGTGCTCATCATGGACAACATTGCAGGCTACGGAGGAAACAAGCCAAACCTGACGGTTACAAATTTTGCTGCGGCAAACATGCAAGCAGCATGCCACTTGAGGAAGAGGAAGAGCCCCACATTTTCAAGGAAAAGAAGAACTGAGAGGACACATTTGGCACGCGAGCCACACTGCCACCCGACCCCACCCAAGTACCTGGACAAAGACGTATATGACAGCCAGGGGTACTATGACAACAGCAAAAATGGGTGTGCTGGAAACAATAACTAATATAGTGGAGAGAGAAACGAAGAAGGTGCCCAGGAACATGAGCACAGTGGACGGCAGAGCCTCATCTATCACGTAGATGTCCTTGGAGAAGCGGTTGATGATGCGTCCTATAGGGGTGGTGTCAAAGAAAGACTGGGGCGTGTGGAATTTGTTGGTGAGCAGGTTAAAGTGCAGCTTCTTGGCTGCACCGATGTTCCCCATGGCTAATGTGAAGGAAGCAATCATGATCAGGATACCTGGGATTAGGTTAAACCACAGGAGCAGAAGAAAAATTGATTAGGGGGAGGAAAGTTTCACTGTAGAACGAGAAAGCAGCTGTTATAAATAGACATGGGCAGCTTCTGTCCTGAATGTGAGGTAGTCAGGGGAGCAGTTCACCATGAAAGGAGCCGCAGTTAAAGAAAAAAAAGGATGTCTCTTGTATACAAGAACAATGCTCAGTGTATTCCAATTAACGATGCTGTAATCAGATTAACTCTCCTTTGGCTCACAGCATCTCTCCAGAGTTTACTGTACAAAAGAGAAGCATTTCAACTGGCTGCAAAGCAAATCTGTTCCGATTATTTCAGTAAAACACAAAGAAAAAGCTGTGAGGGTGGAAGTGGAAGTATAAAGTAGGCATTCAGGTTCAACAATCCGACATGGCAGCTGTTTGCATTTCCCCATACAATACATGCATTTAAATAAACATTCAGCATCAGCGTGTCTTACCTTGTGCAAACCCCAGTGCCGCGTACACCCCCACCCTCATCTGAACATTTTCCGCGGTCCTATTCGTCACGGCGTCATTGGTCCACTCGCTGAGCCAGATGTTTGTTCCGATGGAGGCAGCGCTCTGACAGCCGTACAGGAAGCAGATGACCACTGACAGCAGTGGTCCGACTGCCTTGACGTACTCCAGGTACACCTTTCCTTTCACCTGGGATCAAAACAAAAGATAATTCAGGGGTCGATGTGGTCCAACCAGTGAATACCAGGTTGCTATGTTGCAGTGAACGCTGAGCAGTCGTGGGTCGGAAGATCAAAGGTGGAGAACTTTAAAATGAGCAGTTATATATTTGCAGGTTAAAAAGAATTGAAATATGATGCACCGACCTGGCCGGTTTCTGCCGTTTCTGCCTGGATGAGTTTCTCCATCTCGCGCGGTTTCTTCTTGTCTTGCGACTCTGAATGCTTTCGCTGGCTGCAGCCATGTCTCCTTACTGAACGGGACCTGGGGTTCTCTCCGTCTGAGGACATAATGCTCATCTGCCTGTAAAAAGGGGCACAGGGCAATGAGCTCACGCTACTGAACAGGGTCAGGATAACTGGTGGCGATAATGCATTTATTCAACTGCTATTTTGTGCAAAATGACTCCATATTTTTCAATTTGCTTAATGTTTTAAAAAGCTCATATAATTCTTGAGAAATTCCTGATAAAAAAAAGACAAAGTTTGGAGTTTATGCAACAACCGTTTTATCTCATCCAAGTTTAAATATCCAGTTTTTTTCAATTTACCTTATAAAACTTCTTTTTGCTTCATTGATCATTGGTTCACTGTCCACCATGTCTGTGTGGTTGCTAAGGGCGTCATCGGGGAACAATTCGTCATCTTCAATGATCTCATCTGTGAGAGCAGAACACCAGCATGAAATACTATTGAACCATCAATCCGTTCTGCACCAACATGAGGCGATATGTAAGGGGAGGAAATGCTGTACCGCTGGCCTCATCCTCCTCCATAATATCCTCCAGGGCATAATTTCTGAGGAACTCGGCGAATGCTCCGTTCTGCTTGAGGAGATCCTGATAGGAGCCCATCTCTGACACCCGGCCATCCACCATCACCATTATATTATCCACCTGAGGCAGGAAGCTGATGCCATGTGTCACCAGGATGCGTGTCTGGAGTCAAACACAAGAAACTTCTGTCATGCAATAAACCAGTATGACAATTACCATTTGCATGAACAAGACCAATTAAACTGCCGAAAATGAAAATATTAGACTTAGTGATTTAATTATTGAGGAAGATCATCCTTTAGCCCAAGGCTATAATCTGGCATATTTACATTTGTTATGTTCATTAATATGTATTGTCCCTCTTTCTAAATAAAACTAAAATTAAATTAAAATTAATATTGTCCATCTGGGAGGGGGAAAAAAGCACGCGACCCCAAGCGCTTATTTTCTGCGTACAGCCTTGTGCAACAATACCTCGAAAACCACATTTGCAGGAACCGCCGATCTGTCCTGCACATTAGGTTAGAGGAGCTTTAGAGCAAGCTGGATTCCAGATATTCACTTTCATGGTATTTCTATTATTACAAGGTCAGGACTTTGACTTGGCTGTTCCAAAACATTCGATTTCTTTTGTATTTGACCGTTCTGATGAAGAATGACTTGCAAGTTATGTTTGTTTTGTTATGTTATGTATGTTTTGCTGCATGACTCAGGTTTTCCTGAGATTTGGTTCTTGGGAAAAAAAAACATCCTGAATTTGCTGAATCTGGGTGATGGGAAGCAGGTGAGGCCAAAAATAAACTTCTCTCAACTTCTAGCAATTTAATCCTAGAAAGCACTGAGGTGACAAAGCCATGTGTGATGATTGAATCTCAGAAGATTATCACAACAACTCATCTTCTGGGAAGCTCAGAGATATGTGTGCATGCACTCATAAT